TAATAGGTTAGCATTTGGGTGGTTATTCTTAAAGTAAAATAAACTAGGGTGCCCTGTGTGAGATAATCTCTCTCGCGCTCTCTCTCTCTCTCTCTCTCTCCGACCTCTTCACTGTGGGGTAGATCAAGGGAGGTTAGAAACTTCAGCTGAAAGGGAGAAGTTGTGAGTTAGAGAGGTCCCAAAAATGTATACAGTGACACGCTCGGGTGAAATAAGACACACACACACACACACACACACACACACATTTATTAGGGATCAGACCGTTTTCAACACCTATTCTATGACCCTCTAAGACATGTAGGCTAAGTCACTAATTCACTCTAGTGTGATGATCATACGACAACTGAACCAAATATCTTCCTCCAAGGGTTGATTTAGGTGCGTATATGTCCACTGTGTATGTGTGTTTGTGTCTATAGTGTGCGTATATGCCCACTGTGTATGTGTGTGTGTGTGTCTAGTGTGCATATATGTCTACTGTGTATATGTGTCCACTGTGCGTATATGTCCACTGTGTATACACCTCCAGTGCGTAACCACCCACTGTACGCATATGTTCATTTTGCGTAATATCAGACCCGACGACCTACGACTCACCAACACTATACGCTCCACTGTGTTATTCTCGTGCAGCTTTCATGGTCAGACTCGGCAATTGGCAACACTGTATCGTAATTATGACATATTTATTTATTTATTTATTGTGTTTTTGTGTATTTTTGCTGAGTTTTGTATTTTTATTATTTACTTTGATTTTTTTCTCCTAGTTTTTTGGTGAGTTTTTTTTTCAATTTTCGTATTTTTTTATATTTATCTTGTTTGTTTATACATTTATTTTTGTGACTTTTATTAATTTGTTCTTATTTTATTTATTTATTTACTTAATTATTACTGTTTCATATATTATTGTATTTATTTGTATTTAAAGATTTATCGACTGTAATATTTATTGTTATATAAGTTTTTGTTAACTTACTTATTTGTTTATTAACTTATATGCTTATTTACTAATATATGCAGGTACAGGTATTCCAATAATATATTAATTTACTTAGTCCCAGATGATGTGGAGGCATTATGGGTACGTGTTGTGCCACGAGCTTACCCTCGCCACGCTGCCTCTATCATAATTCTCTGACTGAGTGCAAAAAGGGCCAATGTTAAAAATTACCAAAGCCTAAATTGGCATTTTTTGACAATGGTCCGTTTTGCACTCAGTCAGAGAGTTATACTGTGTAGTGTAACATCCGCCTCGCTCACCCACCAGAGACGTTCTTATCATTCACATCATTACCACCCCAGAGTTAGGTAGCCATGTGCCAAGCTAGTACTACGTGGGGATTATAACGTAATTGACACCACTGATATCCAGGACCAGCTGCTACTATCACAAGTTGTGAACTTCCCCACACACGGTCAAAACACACTTGGCCTTATCTTAACTGACTTAGCGGACCAGTACCAATCACCTCAACCAAGACCTCCTATTGGATGTATTACACACCTATCAGTGTTTAGGTCTCCAGCTCCCACTACCAGCCACGTGCAGAGACCTTACATAGAGACCTACAGGCTGGTTACTGACTCTGCATTGCATCTCCTCAGGCAGTGGATAGTTCACCAAATGGACAACTTACATCAACACCACCACGGAAGCTCACCACCACTTCTGCCCTGAGAAATCCGTCAGATTACACCCAGCTGACTTGCCATGGATCACACCTCGGATCAAAAGACTTATGCAGCAGAGAGACAGGCAGTGCCTTTTATCTCAGTGACAACAACTGCTACAGGTCCCTTCACAACCAAATTATCCGTGAAATACGCGCTACAAAGAAGTCTTACTACCCACTAATGGTGACGCAGTTGAACAATCTAACAACCATTTCGCAACTGTATGACAGACGCTCCCCCGGCTTGACCCAACCAGTCTCCCTGCTTCCTTACCGTCCCTCTCTCCCACTGACTTGATGGAAGAGTTTGAAGTAGCAAGACATTTGGACAAACTGAACATCAAGCGCTCCACTACCCCCATTGACTTACCAATGAAACTCTACAAGGAGTTCCCCCCTGAGCTATAGTTAAGCCCCTCTGCTCCATCATCAATGCTTCCCCCAGTCAAGCCAGATGCCCAATTGACTGGAAGACCTCATACAGTATTTGTCACCAGTGCCCAAGTCAACCAGCCCACAATCCTTAAATGAGTTACGACCCATTGCAATCACCCCAATACCCAGCTTGATCTGCGAAAGTTTCGTGTTTGACTGGCCTTATGCGCTATAGATCCTCAGCAATTTGGCAATATGAAAACTTCCTCCACCACCACCATCAACCATACCAAGACCAAGGTAAACTCCACCAAGCTCCTCAGCGTCACCATAGACAACAAACTAAATATAAAAAAACACACGTCAGTGCAATTGTCAAATCCTTCAGTTTTCTTCTCCACCTCCTCCTTCATACTTCCCAAGCTCACCTATGCTTCCCTGCCTGGTCT